GAAACATACTCCTGCCATGACGACCTCTTTGCTTGGCGGATAGTCCGCCTGGCTTCCGCCCGTTCAATGCGGAAAGAGGCCATGTTGTCAGCGGTAGGAGAACGTTCAATCAGTCGCAGAGCACGATTACGTTCTTTCAGTGCTGTCTTACAGTCTTCTTTAAACCATGGTTTATTGAATCGTTTTGGAGTTGCCGAGGTTTTACGAATCGCCTGACCCGATACATCTTGTAAGATAGTGGTAAATAATTCCATCGGGTCTTCTGCCTCATCTAGATCATCTTCAGAAAAAGAAGAAATGCAAAGAGCCTCAAAGAGAGGCCAATTAGCTTTGGAGAGTTTCCATCTTTGTTGCCTGTCTACTGGTGAAGGACCATTATTCCGTAGAATTACAGGATAAAAAATGATCACTGTGGCAGAGATCGTCGTGGACACTCCAAGAAAAATCTTGGAACAAAGATGGAGAGCTAATTGTCAGATCTAGATGAGAAAAAGTTTGGTTTTTTGAGCAGAAATACGTAGGCGATTCGTCATTAAAGATGCAAAGATCATTGTCATAAATGAAGTCAGCTATTAATTTTCCTCTGGTATTATCATCGGAGCTACCTGAGAGAGAATGGTGACCATTGAAATCTCCTAACAAAATGTAAGGAGAAGGAAGCTGGGCAACAAGGTCATCCAATTCTCTCCGGTTCAATGATAAGCTAGGTGATAAGTAGATGGAACAAATGGTAATAGGCACGTGGAGTGTAACTCGCACGGCTATTACCTGCAGAGGATAATTGAGTGTGATTTCGGACTGGGCGACATTCATATTGACAATAATAGAAACATCACCCGAGACCTTATCATCATCGGTGCCATAATGGTGGTATCAAACAAAATGTTTAAATGGCACTAAACGCAAATCCGTTGGCTTAAGGAAAGTCTCTTGGAGACAAATAGCCAACGGATTGTATTGTTGCATTAATAGCTGAACTTAAGATTATGACTTAAACCTCGACAATTCCATTGTATTATATTATTTTTTTGATGCATTGTCAGGGTGGTTTGACTGGACTACGAGGTTTGCGGTAAGGGGGGTTGAGAACTTCCGCATCAACCTCGGAAGCCTCCATATCTATACTATCAGATATGGCAGACTTCAAAAGATCTCTTCCTCCCTTTTTGGAGGAGGATCCATTTTTTTTTGCCGGACTTGTCATTTTTAGAAAGACTTTCGCTATGCCTT